GGAATGTGCCCACCTCTTCAATAACACTGTACTGAGGGCAACGCCGTACGGATGCGAAACATGATCACTGACGAAAGTTGAAAAGCAAAATTTTACGTCTGATAGAGATAATGATAGAGTGAAAGACGTTTAGCGCAAAATTTTGCGACCACATAATCAGTCAATTTCCGTCAAAATAGCAATGCGCAGGATATTAATGCGACCAAGAGAGAAAGTAAAATCCGATGGGCACAGGACATGCTGCTCACCATATCGACAATTGGTGGACAAGTGCATAAATGAGTAATTTACCAGCGGAAAGATAAGCAACCACTCAGGCGACCTCCGAAGAGGCGGCGCACATACACAGAACAGGCAATGAACTTAAGGAATCTGGGCGTATGGAGCATCCAAGTAACATCACTAACAAGGGACATGCACATTGCTAGTCCGAGGGGCCTTGATATTCTTAACAAACTAAACTGCGAGGGACAAAAAATTCACTTACTGTGTAACTCTGATATTCCAACCATTGAGATCGTTGATGAAACTTCGGAAATCCGAAAGTGCCTCTCGAACGCGTTCTCGCAGTCCAGCTGCTTCAACTTCAAGTAACGAATGTCGATGGTTCAGATGCCTCCCGTAATCACGACACAGCAAGCACATCAAACGATTACTTTCCAAACATTCCACTTCCTAAAGCAAGATTTTGTGCTACATACCTGTAAACAACGGTATAAGGGCAGGGGACGTAAAATGCGGGAAAAAGGGGGGGAGGGGGGAGAAATTATGCTAAACCTGAACTGTGTTTATTAAAAAATAAAACAAAATAGTTCCAGTTCAACAAATTAAACCTGGAGTGCAGTTGCCGCTTGGTGGATATTTAATTTTCGCAACATACCAGATACCAAAATACCAGAACCGCCATTTTCTAGCAATTCGCCCACACCTTAGCCTCTTCTTCCAGAAACTAGGCCGCAATTCAAGACCTTCCAGTAACCAGGCTGCGCTTCAACCCCTTCTTCTCGAGACTATCCTAAAACCCCGGGCCAAGACACAGTTAAAGGGCGAAAATAATACCTCCCCCCCTCCGTCCCCGCCTCCCACCGGGGCCAAAACACAGTTAAAGACTCAAATAATATTTGATCACACAGTAAATTCTTTTTCGGGTTTTCTCGAGAGTTCTCGACAGAGGGGAGTGTCACGAAAGCTGGTAGCACATTCGTGATCATTGAAGCATGATCCTTGGTGGATCATGCCGGGCCAGTTTGGCTGGCCAGCACTTCCTGCTTGCCCCATCATGGACAATATAAACGCAGTTTCCTTCCAATGGAGACCATTGTTGTTACGATTACTTGTGTTGTTTTTTCGTCATAATCCCCGTTCATCGTAAACACTCGTCTCGACGCAGCATCGCTTCTGTAGAGTCTAGCC